GAGGAATCCAACTGATTTTTGGATGGTGATCTTATATCCTGCGACGTTGCTAAATCTCTCAATTAGTTCCAGTAGGTTTTTGACTGAATCTGTTGGGTTTTCTAGGTATAGGACATGTATGATATTCTTGATGTCATCCCACAATTCTTCTGGTTTTTGGTCATTGGTGTTCAATGTATCAAATCTATTCTACATATAGTCTCTAAATTCAGGTGGGATATAATAAAGGTCATATTTTGGCTCTCATGGACTTGTTTTAATTGTCTCCAGTTCATCTTGAACTTTCATATGAGCAATTGAAAATCTATTCCACAGGCAGCTCCTGGCCTTGTCTTGGCTGAAGATATTGAGTTTCACCATTGCCTTTTTCCATAGATGTAGTTGATTTAATTCCTGTATATTCCATCTGGCAAGGTCCACACATGTAGCCACCACTTATGTTGTTGAAAAATGATACTTACAATGAATAAGTTGTTTGGTTTTGCAAAATTCTGTCATGTGATCTGCAGGGTCAGTTCTATTACCAAGGCCGTATTTTCCAACCACCAGTGATTCTTCTTTGTTTGTAACTTTTGTATTCCTATCACATTAATAATCAATACATCATGATTACATGTTTGGTCAATTTCAGACTGCAGAAATCAGTAGAAATCTTCAAGTTCCTAGTCTTTGGTTTTGGTGTTTGTTGCATAAATTTGAATAATACTAGTATTAACTAGTCTTCCTTATAGGTGTATAGGTATTGTCCTATCACTTACAGCATTGTACTTCAAGATAGATCTTGAAACTTTTTTTTGTGTGTGTGACAATGAATGTCACATCATTCCTCTTCAATTTGTCATTCCAGACATAGTAGATCATATGATTGTCTGATTCAAAATGGCCAAAAACAGCCCATTTCAACTCACTAAGGTTTTAGATATTGATCTTTAGGTGTTCCACATCATTTTTGAAAACTTCCAATTTTCCTAGATTTGTACTTTGTGCATTCCATGTTCCTGTTATTAATGGATGTTTGCAGCTGTTTCTTCCCATTTTGAGTCATGCCACATAAGCAAATGGAAGTTCTGAAAGCTTTACTCCATCTTTGTCATTAAAGTCGACTCTACTTTGAGGAGGTAGCTCTTCCCCAGTATTTTGAGTGACTTCTGTCTTGAGGGGCTCATGTTCCAGCACTATATCATGCAATGTTTAAGGATATTCATGAAGTTTTCCACTAATGCATCAGACAGTGTTTTACTGCTGTTCATAAGATTTTCACTGGCCAATATTTTGAGAAGTGGATGGCCCCTACCTTCTTAGTCTGGAAGCTCTGCTGAGACCTGTCCACCATGAGTGACCCTGTTGGTGTTTGAAATACCAGTGGCATTGCCTCTAGCCTTATAGCAATATGCAAGTCACTACAGTTTGACAAACTGATAGGTGAGTGATGGTCCTGGTTAGAGTGGGGGAAAATGTATAATAAAACTAAAAACTGTAAAAAAAAGACCAGGTCTGGAGAAGACTGGTGGAAATCCCAAGAGTATGGGCCTTAGACACCCTTCAACCTAGGAATTGAGTTTAAGCCTTGTGACTGAACTTTCTGCCAAACGATACATAGACTTAAAAGGTGAACAGTAATACCTGGGGGGTACATACTCATTAGAACCAAGCATATGAAATCATGAAGTCAGCGTCTTCCTAGGGATAGGAAGGCAGGAGAGGATGGGGAAAAAAAAAAAAAGGATGAAGGGAAGGGGTGGGCACAAGGAGGAAGTAGGAGGAATGCTGTTATAGTGTGGGGTTGCAGTGAATGTCACAAAATATAATGTGTGAATTATTAAATGGAAAACTAATTTGCTCTGTAAGCTTTCACACAAATCACAGTGATAAGAAGAAGAAGACACTGAAGAAATACATGTCGAATGAATGAATAAGTGAACGACCTTATGGCAAATATTGTATAAAATGGAGCTCTGGTAGCGTAGTGCCTAAGGCACTTGACTGCTAACCAGAAGGCTGGCGGTTCAAACCCACCAGCCACTCCTCGGAAGGGAGATGGGGCAATCTACTTCCATAGTGATACTGCTTCAGAAACCCAAGGAGGGGTCACTATGAGTCGGGTCCGACTCAACGGCACATAACAACAACAATTTCATTTTTATGACAAATGTGTCATTATTACATAATTATTATTTTCCTATTTTTTTAGATGAGGGAATTTAGGCTTAGAACATATGCAAAATGAGAGTGTTGTGTTGTCTATATTTTATATAGTAACAACCACCAAAACCCAAACACACTGCTGTCAAGTCAGATCCAACTCACAGTGACCCCTCCTTGAATTTCTGAGGTGGTATCACTACAGAAGTAGATTGCCCAGTCTTCCTTCTGAGGAGTGGCTGGTAGATTTGAATGGCCAGCCTTCTGGTTAGCAGTCAAATGACTTAGGCACTACGTCACCAGAGTTCCCATATTTTATATAGTAGAGACCAAGAAAAACAAACCCACTGCCATCAAATTGATTCCAACTCATAGTGACCCCCATAGGATTTCCAAGGCTGTAAATCTTTATGGGAACACTGTCTCATCTTTCTTTCTCAGAGCGGCTGGTGGGTTAGTACCACCAACTGTTTGGTTGACACTGCTTTAAGCAGTGTACCACCAGAGCTCATTACATGGTAGGGACTGAGACTTAAATAAATTAATTTCTGCCAAGTACTACATGACTAGAAAGTTCAGGAAATAAGATTTAAATCTAGGGCTGTCTGATTCCAGAACCCATGTCATTGCCAGTATATCATGCTGCCTTCACATAAATTCACATGACTCTTTGAAAGTAATGTTAATCATTCAACTTGAAAAGACCTCAAAATTTATCTAGCATAACTGCATCCGTCTATGAACCAGAAAAATTAGGCCAAGAATACTGTTACTCTACCAATTATTGCAAAGCTACCTAATGACAGAACTTAAATGAGTATTGATTGATGTCTCTTGACCCTTCAGTTAATGTCCTGAGACATTCTGCCAGATTAAAGTGTCGAAAAAGATAAGAGTGATGCAATTAAAATTGTAGTCTATAGTTTTATCATTGAATGTAGATAAAGATGTAGTTATATATGGCTCAAGTAAACCTAAATATTGGGAAAAGATAACCATACTAATGCCACTGTAAGTTTTATATAATGCTCAGGATTTAATATGGAAGGAAAAGGACCACAAAACTTAAATACATGGTTTCCACATATGGAAGTTTTATGTAACTGATCTTAGTTTTCATTATTTCCTCTAGATGATGTTTGATGAGGAGTGACAGGACTTGCGTCTGTTCATTCCTATTGTTTTAAAAGCACACCACCTTTCTCAACAGGTGTCTAAGAGGTTGTATGGCATGGGCTGTTATGAGATCTCTCTGGGAGACACAATTGGAGTGGGAACTCCAGGAAGCATGAAAAGAATGTTGGAAAGTGTCATGAAAGAAATCCCACCAGGTGCTCTTGCTGTTCACTGTCATGACACATATGGACAAGCTTTAGCAAATATCCTTACAGCCCTTCAGGTATTTTCTATTCTTTATGTGTGTGTGTCATTATTTTTAATATAACATTTCATATAATATTAATAAGATAATATTTATGAAGTGTTATAAACATGATGCTTAAATAGTGTCTTCCATATGACAGGCACTCAGGAAGTATTTGTAACATGCCTATGTTTGTTAGGGCAACCAGGTATCTTATTACTGTTTATTTGATATGAAAAGTCTGTCAGTTTGTTCTTTTTGAAGTATTAGTACCTTCAAAACTATGTTTACTTGTTTTCACTTCCATTTGCTCTCAGCCACAAAACCTGATAGACTGAAATATAATACCATTTTGAGAAGTGTAAAGCACAAAGATAGTAGAGGGTTCTGTTGTAATCATGTAACTAATAATCTTTGTGGCAATTTGGTGCTCTATGATGAGAAGATACGGTGCTGAAATATAAAATCTTCTGTTTTAGATGTTTTTCTGATGTTGGCAAGCTGACATAACTTCTGTTTCTTATCAAGTATATCCCATTAGGTGACCAAAATGAAGAGATCTAAAGAGTTGGTAAGAAAGTTGGTGGAAATACCATTATTTATTAAATCCTAATGACAACTCAGTTATTTTATATATATATAATAGAGATCAATATAAAATAATACTGAATATAAAATAATAGAGATCAATAGCATTTTAAGATTATTATTTTAAAATTAATGTTAGTTTCTTAAACTCAGCCAAAACTACAGTAATTTGATGTTCTTTGTACCCAAGACTTTGACAACTAAACATAAGACTATATGAAAACATTTTGGTGAGACTAAAAATCAATATGTGAAGCTTAATGTCAGTCCTAAAAAGTACAGATGTTTGGCAGAAGTTAAAAAAACAGTGTGAAGATCAAGCCCTAAAAGGGCTTATTTTGACTTTGTAACATATGTGCACAAATCCTTATTTATCCTTTGGAAGCAGGCAAGGAGCATTGTATTGAATCAGGAAGAAGAGAGAATGTTATCCCATAGGCTTTTGGGTGTGGAGATTTTTGCAATTTTCTTTCCCTGAGTATTTTAGTTTCTTAAACAATAGAGAACTAGGCAGAATTGCAACAATTCTAACTTACTAAGTATTCCTAGGAACGTTCCTGAATAATAAGTGTTTTCTCTCTCTCATTTCTGCATAGATCTGTCTTATATACGGTAACACTTGTAGAAATGTAATAATTTATTAGCAATTTATTTTCATTATATTATGAATACTAGTTATTTAGTTCTCTGTGATAAAGAGCTATAGTACACAATCTGGGAACTCAGACTTCTGCTTCAGAAAATGCTTCTGCCTCTCGAAAATGCCCATGTGAAACACATTGCTGATAACCCAAGGTGAATTTAATAGTTGAGGAAGGCTTCTCTGAGGAGATGATATTCGAAATCAGGTCTAAAGAATGAGCAGTTAACTCCACTAGGGGTGTGTATGTGTGCGTGGGTGGGTGGGGGGTGTGGAAAATGTTTCAATCAAATGAAGCAACATTTTGGCAAAAGGCTTTGGGGGAAGGGAGGATCATGTTATAGGAACTGGAAGAAGACTGAAGAATTACATGTTGGGGGAAGAGTAAGCACTCTACTCTTCAGAAGCTTTCATGTTAGATAGTAGGAGATATGTCTGGAAGCATCTGGAACTGTTTTCTGTGTGCATACACCCTATGTATGGTAGGCAAGCGGACAGAGGAGGCAAGGAGGCTGTGATTGCAGTAGTATGATTTCAGCTTTCTGCTGTTCTTCCCCAGATCCAGATTTCTAGCCACTGTATAAATAGGTCTTGGAAGGAAGATTGGGCAATCTATTTCCATAGAGGTACCACCTCGGAAACCCAAGGAGGGGTCACTATGAGTCAAAATCGACTTGACGGCAGTGAGGGTTTTTTTTTTTTTGGTGTAAATAGGTGAATAACCAGATAATAGTGGCTGGTATAATAAACAAAGCGACGGGAAGTCAGAGAGGTTAATATAAATGAACAATTGCAGAAATGGTAAAAAAAAAAAAAAAGAAAAAACCATGAATGTGTTAAGGAAGCTAAAAAAAGTTGAGTTGTAGAGTTTTTTGTCTTTTCTGCCATCCACTTTTTTGGACTTCATAGAATTCTGTAAGCCATTGTCAATGGAAGAAAGAAATATGTCCTACTGCTCCCCTAAAATAGTGCTCCACTGTGAGAATCTTTAAATGTTCTAGCACTTTTGTGTTCATAGTGACAGCTGAATTTGGTAAGTGGAATGTTTTTGCAAGTGCACATACGTGAGAGGCATGAGCCTCAGCACTGAGTAAGAAGGAGGCCAGGAGTGCCATTTTCTCATTCTCCCTACCTCCTACCAACAACAACAACAACACAACCAGGTTTACCTCTACTGGAGGAGAAAAAAATGTCTTGGAAAATTTTGACTGCGTTTAAATGGAAGGGAAAACAGAAAGTACAATTTCTTTATGAACATGGTTAACCTTGGCTTCAGGAAGCAGGGTTCATACTTCATTATTTATAATGGAACCTTTGAAGTGCCTCCTAATGAAATTGATGGTGAACATGGAGTGGCTATCATTTGTTTTAATTTTGGGGTGAAGAAACACTTTACAATGCTCCAAACTGGAAGTTAATATTAAGGCAAGGAGTCATGTAATAAGTGGAAACTTGGCCACAAAGGTAGGAAACAAATGAGAGTTATAAATGGAACTTCTCCCTCAGTCTGGAAACCACATACTAATTATGTATGACCTTTCTTGGGTTCCTAGGTTTTACTGTATGTTTTTATTACTTAAACGTATGACTTATAGGACTGGAGATGGTTGTAGGGGAGGCAAATACTTATAGTTATCAGCTATGATTGACTATAGAAAAATTATTCTTAGAATGTAGATTTAAGAGTAAATTATTTAGAACCACTCAAAATTGAAAAAAGAATGAAAATGAGGTGATAAAATGTACAAAATTTTAGTAATGGAAGAAACTTACATGGCTCAATATTCTTGTTTTAATTTTTTATGTGAAAATTGAGCTTCATTCTCCTGCATATCCCCAACTACCTGAGTAGAACATCAGTTAGAAAATTGTTTAATCTATTTTATACCCAACAATTGCTCAATCTATATTTTTCTCTACTGAAATGATTTGAGTTTTTATAAATGGGTAAAAGCAAAATAGAACAAATGAGATCCACTGTCACAAATAACAGTCACATATTAATTAGTATCATAGAGACAAAGAAAACAAGCAATATTTAGCCTTCTGAAAAATATTGTGTGCCTTTTTTTTTCTCTTACATTTTTTTGATAATGTGCCTTTCCTCATAATGTTTTCCATATGTGAATTATCCTGTTTTAGAAAGACCAACTTATTTACCTAATTTTTACATCAAAAGCATTTATTTTTATATCGACTCTAAACTGTGTTTAAATGCCTAAAATAAAAGGATCTTTCTTCATGCATTTTATTCTGAGGATCTCAAAACAATTTTTAAAATTGTCATCAGTAGTCAGTTGAGCCTCTGTTTCTCAGTTCATTATCTGTAGACTGAATAGAATGATGCCTATCTCCTCAGGTTTTACAAAAATGATGTGAAATGAGATGTCAAGTTTCTATAATGATATCTTGGTAAACATGTACTTGATTGATACTGACCCACCAGCCACTCCTCGGAAGGAAGGTTGGGGAATCTACTTCCGTAGTGATACTGCCTCAGCAACCCAAGGAGGGGTCGCTATGAGTCGGGTCCAACTCAACGGCACATAACAACAACAACAACATTCTTGTAATCATTATAATTATTCATAATAATAATAACTTTTATTATTCAGGTCATTTTTTAGTAGAGCCAAAATACATAAAATATTGCATCACAAATGTGTTTTGTAAATACATGCAGTAGCTGTTCGTTTCTTCATCTGTTAAGCAGCTAAACATATATAGACGTACAAGAAAGAAACAAAAGAGGATTTCATGTACAAAAAAAGCTGAAATTGGATGTCTGTAAAGAGATTTTTACAAAGTTCATCATTCATTTATTCAACAGATATTTATTTTTTCAGGCACTGTTGTAAATGCTAGATTAGTATGTTAGAGGCTCTGAGTAGTACTATAGTCATGAAAGCTGTTTGACTTTGTTTAAATCAGTACTTACAAAAGCTTTTTGATCATAAAATGGTTTTCCTTGCAACACCATTGTTAACTTTCTTCAGAGAATATTCTGTTGGAAGATATTCTCATAGGAAGATGAGAAGATATTCAAGTTAGCACTAAAGAATTTTTAAGATGCAGAAACAAAGCACAACAGAAGTGTGACACTCTCCAATGTTTTAAGTATTTATAACCAGAGATCTTGAGCTATAGTAGTCAGTGAGAGAAAGATGAAAAAAGTACCATTATGTATTTTTCCAGTGGTTTGATTGTTTACATAAGTGATGAAGAATGAGTACACATCTGAATAGTTTTGTTTTCTACAGTTTACCTTTTACAGCCTTTTGTCGGTGTTGTTAGATGCCCTCAAGTTGACTCCGACTCATAGTAACCCTGTGAACAACAAAACAAAATATTGCCAGATCCTGGGCCATCTTTACAATCCTTGCTATGCTGGAGCCCATCCCTGTAGCCACTGTGTCAAGCCATCTCATTGAAGATCTTCCCCTTTTTCACTGCTCCTTTACTTTATCAAGCATTATATCCTTTTGCAGGGACTGGTATCTTCTGAAATCATGGAGAAAGTGAGAGGAAGTCTGGCCACTCTCACTTCTAAGAAGCATTCAAACTGCACTTCTTCCAGGACGGATTTATTCATTCTTCAGGCAGACCATGGTATTTTTCAGATTCTTCACAAACACCACAATTCAAAGGCATCTACTCTTCTTCAGCTTCCTTATTCATTGTCCAGCTTTCACACACATATGAAGTGATTGAAAATAGCATGGTTTGGGTTAGGCACACACTAGTCTTCAAAGTGACATCTTTGCTTCTTAACACTAAACAGTTCTTGTGCAGCAGTTTTACCCAGTGT